GATTTTCACTGTAGGGCGCGTGTGCTCGCCAGACAGACAGAGAGAGACAGAGACAGAAAGCGAGAAATCACCCCCCAGGGGGGATGGTCACGCTGCAATCCCTTCTCCTCCATTCTCCTCTCGGGATCTTGGGCACACACGCACACGCGCCCGGCGTGAGTTTTAAGCCACCGGGTCCGGGACGTGAACTGTGGTCGACTACGTGGGAGTCCAGCGACATAGCCATTACACTAACTGCTGGTTCCCGGTGGAGCTCTGTTTTGAGAAAATGAGTCTAGCAGTACATTAAGCGCAGTTCCTTGTTATTTTCAGTCCACTGGTGAACAGTTATCATCTTGTACAGTGTGTTGGAACTTACACAAGGCAATGGTGATATAACGGGAATATGACTCATTCTCTACTAGCAAGGACATCATAATCAAGAAAGCTAAACCTAAAATGGAACAAGGCCATTAGAGCTATAATAGAGAATGCATAGAGGAACTTCTGGTAGGAGTACCTTCTCTAGTTCTAGAATAACAGAAAAAATTTCCTTTAGAAATTGACTGTGGATTGTGTGCATGGTATGGATGTATATACATGTGTGTAGGCTTAGTGTGTAGAAGGTTCAATCTAAGAAAAGGCTTAAAGAGGAGGATGTGTTTCAGGAACTTGCAGGGTTATTTGCTTTCCAATCACATAGATTCTTAACAACTTGTTATATGCACAAGGGTTCTGGTTGTCTTATCCTACAGACAGGGCTCACCATCCATCAACTTTTGGGAGAACCAATCAAGCATTATGTACAAGGACCCTGTGAATGCAAATTCTATTGAATTGAATTGGCTTTCTTCATAGTCCTGGAAATCATCTGGTCTGAGCTTTTTGTTAAATGCCAAATATGAATGAGTCAGTCAAGCCTGAAATAAACACCTGATTGAGTGTGGCTTTTAGCATTCATTCATTCACTCAATTATTCAAAAAATATTTGATATTCATCAGCACTAGAGAACCCACTGTAGTCTTAGTTACTCCCTTACCTTAATTGATTTTTTTTCAACATTTACCCTTACTTTTCTGTACCTTCTTGTAAAACTTTTTATAGTTTGACCCTATCACTACAAACTCTACATACAACAGTGTCTTCAAGTAGACTGGCCATTTGAAGAAAAGAATTATGTCCTCATTTCTGTGTTCCACTCAATGTATGAAACAGATACAGTGGGTATTCTATAATGTTTGTTGGATGATTAAGTGGATAGATGGATGGATGGATGGATGAATAGATTAATGGAAATAGACATGAATTTTTTTTCTGTCCTAAAGAATTATATAGTCTAATAATACAGATCAAGTATGCCTAGTTAATTAGAAATATTTTCCACTTAAAACTATGATGTTTTCACTTTGCAATTTATGGCTACTGTTGAAGTGTCACAATATTTTCATGATCCTAAAGACACTATGAGAGAACTCCATAGGATATTTAGAGTTTGAAATAGCTCTTTCTTCTATTTTAGCTAAAGTTTGATTTTTAAGTTTCTAAAAGTACCGATTGCTGAGTTTTCTCTTTAAATTCAGAAAAAAAGCATTCCCAAATTTCTCTTTGAACCATTTTAATAGGCTGTTATTTTCCCTCAAGAGATTAACATAAGGTGGATAAGAACAGAGTAAGATTCCTACAGAATTTCTGAAGTCATCATTAATCCAAGAACAAAACAGAAGTATGCCTTTGCTTGTATACATAAAATAATTAACATCATTTCCCACTTTTCTCTTTAGTGAGCCTAGTTGATGGCTATTTCATCAAGAGTGCTGCTTTATTTTCTTTTTGCTATTCAGTAGTTCAGCATATCTTTGTTGATTGTCATGGACTTTGATCTGGTCAACCAGACCAAATTCAAAAGTTTCAATAGGATTGTTCATATAGATAGTACATATTTTGTTGCTCATTGATTTATTTTGAGAAAAAGATTTTTCTTTTCTTTGTATGTATTATTAGAAAAGCATATTTTTACATTTTATTGAAGCTAAGTGATTCAATAGTATAAAAGGCAGTTTTACCCCTTAAAATCGTGGGATGCTAATTATGTAACATACTCTCTAAGTTAGGGAATTATAGTTGTGATTAGAGATGGAAAAAGAGTGAAATTACAGCCAGAGACACTAATTCCTTAATCTTAGTGAACTTCAGGTTCCTGTTCTATAAAATAATAATTATGACCTTGAAATGTTATAATTGTCATTGTGAGAATGTTTAAAGATAACTGATATCAAAATACCAGGCATTATTCTAATATGTGACAGGCTGTCATTATTGGGTGATTACTATGTGAAGACAATATGCTACACATTCTGCCTGCTTTTTCTCATCTGGTACTTTTCAAGTTCTATGAGGTTAATCCATTTTGGTCATTTTAAATGAGGAAATGGTATATAAAGGAGGTAAAATTAAGTATAGCTCATAGAGGTTATAATATATAGCAGCCATTGATGAGATATAGTTAGAACATAATGTTGGGACCCAGCAGATGGCATAATGGTTATGTAGTTGGACTCCTACATAGTCGACCATGGTTTGAATCCCAGACTCGGTGGCTTCAAACTCACACGGGACACACGTGTGTGCATGCCCAAATCCTGAGGGGACCATAGAGGAGAAGGGATTGCAATGTAGTTATCCCTCCTTGGCAGTGATTTCTTACTCTGTCTCTCTGGGGAGCACACATGCTCTACAGCAAAATCTCTCTTAAAAAAAAAAAAAAAGAAGGACTACCTCTTTTTGTCAAATAAAACTACAGATCTGGCTTAATAAGGAGATGCATTATTTGAAAGGAGGAGCGGCAGAGTGTACAATGAACTGACTGTTGCATAGGGAAACTGCTCTGATGGTAAAATCAGCAATGTCTCAGAGGTTAAGCAGAGTTTCTTTTTAAGAGAGGGTAAAACAAGTCTACCAAAAAAAAAAAAAAAAAAAAAAAACTGGGTGTAGATTCTAAGGCTTTTATGATCCCATGGTAGATCACAGAAAGTTTTATTCTTAGGTCAGCCTATTTGGAGGGCTGCTGGGGAGGGATTTTTGCTGGCTCAGAGTAAGGGTTTGTCAAAATTCAAAGGTCTGTGGCCAGCAGGTGGTATGGTGGTTAAGGTATTGGACCCCACATGGCCAACTCTGCAGTTCAAGTCCCAGACTTGGCAGCTTGAAAATCACCTGGAGCACATGTGCCTATGTGCCTAAAATCCTGAGAGGAGAATGGAAAGAAAGGGATTGTGGCATGGCCATTTCACCTGGGGGAGGTAGGCACCTCTGACACATGCACCCTATGCCAAAAAAAAAAAAAAGGAAAAGGAAAAAATCCAAAGACCTTAGTGAAGAGTAACTCAACCAAAGTTTGATTAGCAAATATTTTATTCCAGTTAATTATAAAGATAAGCAGTTCAGCTAATCATTTTAAATAATTGAAATTTAGTTTATGTCTGGCTTTGTCATAGGTCATAAAAGAGGATCCATGAGTCTTCTCTAACTCATAAGGTGAAGGATTATTCTTTGTGTCCCAGAACATGAAAGAATGGAGGTTATTTCTTAACCTTCCCTGTTTTCCAGAATCACAGGGTTCAGGTAGAGGTCAATACTATCACTCCCCTCTGGCTAGACATGCTGAAGGATTAAGTTGTGAAAACAAGGTGTTGAGAGTGACAAGGTCTCAGAATAACACTGTGACCTTCCTCCTCTAGAGTGTTAATCAAGTCAATATGTTTGGGCAAGTCTTTGTTGTAGAAGCTTATCCAGTGTTCTAAATAGTAAAATGCTCAACTGTGTAACCTAGGCCCATTGTGATTTGAGTCAAGTCACTTCTTCTCATGAAGCTTAGTTTCTTTATTGGCTAAATGATAGAGTTGAACTTGACCAACCCAGAGTCTCCTGGCTCAGATCTTCAGAAACTTGTGAAGGCATCAAGATTTGATTTGTTCAACAGCTCTGTGGCACAGTGTATAGAATTAGCTGTCATCTTCTTCCCAATCCCCAAGCAGCCACAGTATGGTGAGTCACCTAAGAAAGCTTTGATTTTGGATGTCAGTTATGGGACATGGCTCTATCATCAGCAATTCAGAATAATGGTATCAAGCTTTGGTCTTTTGTCCTGCCAACTAATTGCTTTTTCTTCCTAAACCTCTTGTATCCTCTTTGCACTGTTTGGCAAATATGGGGTAATTTTTTTTTATTTCCTCTCTTTTAGACTTTGGTTTTCTACATTTTCTTTCCATAGTCTCTCTCTGAAATTTTGTCTAGGTCACACAAACTCAGTTTGGGGTGTCGTTTCATGTCTTTCCAAAGGCCATGGCTGATTGCCCACTTAATATTCAGGAAGCATTCTTATTGCTCATCTCTTTCAGGAGAAACCCATAAAACTCACCATCGGTCAACTGATGACTAACAATAGGCCATGTTGTTTGTCTGCATTTGGTTTCCTAGTGTAAGCTAACTGAAGTAGGACTCTGTGGGTCTTATTTATCACCCAGAGCCATCAGCATAGCTCTACCATGGATGCAAAAAATCAACCAATTACCAAACATTTAGAGATACTTAGATTTTTTTTTTTTTGAGAGATTTTCACTGTAGGGCGCGTGCGCTCTCCAGACAGACAGAGAGAGACATAGAGACAGAAAGTGAGAAATCACCCCCCAGGGGGGATGGTCACGCTGCAATCCCTTCTCCTCCATTCTCCTCTCGGGATCTTGGGCACGCACGCACACGCGCCCGGCGTGAGGAGATACTTAGATGTTTTTTAAAAGTGTATGTTACCACATGGTGACAGCCTAAAGCAGGCTTTCCAGTGAAACAAAGATAAGTTAGAACTACAGCTCAGTACAGCACTCAGATTGTGCTAGAGTTTTGTTCTAATTGAAAACGGTTCAATACAAACTTGAGGACATAATGGCTAGGAGAGAAGAAGTGGCAGAAAAGCCATCTTTAAGCATTTAGGTGGAGACCTAAATCCAAAATCCTACTGGTAACTCACCTCCAGTGTGTTCTTAAAGAACTTAATTTATCTAAGTCTTGGTTTCTTTGACTGTAAGAAAAAGGACAACAATAATTACTGTAGAAGACTGCAGAAGGGAATCAATAAAATAACACGGGTAAAATATCTTGAGCTCTGAAGGCATGTGGTAGACATCTATTAATATTGAAACTGCTAAGACCTTATCGTTAATCACCATTGACTTACCCAACTGAACTAGCAAACATTTACTAGTTAGAGTAGTTGATTATAAATGTAGGAGGTAGGAAATAGAATCTGGGCTCAGAACGTGATTTACTGTGTGAATTTATAAGAGAACGGTTTTCTTGTGGATAGAGAAGCATAAAAATCTGAAGAGTGTTTACAAAAGACTTTTCTGTGAGGCTGGTTAAACTAGTCCCTCATTTCCTCATCACCATCAATAACATTTCTTTTCTTTGTAGCTGTCCTGCTCATGTCACTGAATTCTTGTCTATTCCCTTGGCTTTTGTTTACTATTTGCTATAGTCTGTGAGAGCTGCCACATTTGGGTCATGTTCCCAGAAGTAAATCCCCCTCAGTTATCATGATTGAGTGTCAGAAGACAATGAGTAGACAAAGAAACACAGGTAAATCCAAGTCAAAAATATAAAAAAGGAAAATGTATGAAAATATAGAAATATATACATAAAGATAATAAATGGATATAATTTTTACAGATGGACTAGTATTCATAGGATAAAGAGAAAGGATGCCTGTTTCTGGTTCATTTGGTGAAAGAAGATAATTTGGATAACTGAATTGCTTGGTATGGAGTTATACAGAGCTTAAATTTATTGGATGATTGAAATCTCTCTCACTTACTTTAAGCTAATAGAAACAGTTCCTAAATCTCAATGCTGTCAAATATGAAGTTAAATAATTAAAAGAAAAAAAAGCAATAATCTTTGGGGGAAAATGATTCATTAAACAAAGTAAAAACTTTGTCCTTAGGAAGTTCATAAGTATATTTGGCTAGCCATTGCTATTTGGAAACTTTTTGAATGTTGATGGCAGTAATGGGACAGAAATTAATCAGTTGGGGCTGGTTTTAAGAAATGACTTCAGTCCCTAAGTGGTTTGCCAAGTTTCTGTTAAACATCTCACATTATTGAAGATACAAGTCAAAATCACTTATCAGCAGTTCTTCTAAATAGCAAGGAACATGTATTAAAGAGGCCATGAAGGAATTTCTAATGAGAAAAAATGCTCTTACTTTTTGAGAAATTAACTGCTCCAATAAATTGCAAAGATAAAATAGGAAAAGTTATCACAATAATGTCTGTTGTAATAAAACTAAACTATACAGCTGATAACAGTTAAAATGCCAGAAGGTAAGTTAATGACATACCTTTCCCTAAAAGCCCCTTTGGTCCTTACTCTGAAATGTAATTCTGACTCATATATGAAAGATATGGTAGAAGCTACATGGAAATACTGCTTATGTACATGTACAGATTCATTGCCTAGGAACTTTTGAACATATATAAAATTTACAAAGCAGAATATATTAAATGAAACCTTCAGAAAAGTGAAATAAAATAATCCCAGGACCTAAAATTGATTCTCGAAATCTAAAAGAGATGAAAGTCTTTGGAGAGAGAAATCAGTCTGAAGTGCTTGCTGGCATTGGAAAATTCTATCAAAGATCCTGGGAACAGGGTCAAAGATGGAGTCATTGAAACCTCCCTAACACTCTCTATGGGTTTTTGACTGTAGGAGAGGCCTGAAATAATTTTCTGCAGTCATATTCTCAGACAAGGTATCAATTGTAGCAATGCAGAGGAACTAATAAGAATAATGGGAAAAAGAAAACAAACAGAAATAACAGGTAGAAATTAGAAAGTAATCTGATGTGGACTTTCTCATACCTAGTGATGTCCAAACCAGCAATGAATGCAGAAAGTGTGTATGTGGTATGTGTGGCTGTGGTGGGGTGAGTGTAGGGAGAGAAAGAGGGGAGTCAGGGAGACAAAGAAGAGGAAGGGGAAGATCAAAGTTGAATGAGCATCAGAAAGCCAAAGATACCATATGCACACATCCTCAGACACTGAGGCTGAAAAACTCAGAGTCAGCTTCTTGCTTTAATAAACAGAGCCATCTTGCTTTACCTTGAGTACCAAAGAAGACAGGCAGGTGCCCTATGTACACATTCACATTCTGACTAACTAAGTAAAAACACAACCAAAGTAGTGATACAATTATCCAACAAAGAAAGAAAACCGAAATCTGCCAAAACTCTGTTTTAAAAAAAGGGCATGAAGAAATAGTGCATACCATGACAGAAACAAACCTTTCTGCTCCAAGCCATCTGTGCCACCCTTCAGCTGGTAATAATGTGATTCTGAGTAGCAATAGAAGCAATCAAAAGAAGAGCATTAAGAAGGCATGGCAGCATTAATAGATTCTCTTCTGGGTTTCTGGTCTTTGTTTATGGATAATTATAATTTGGCAATGTGTTCAGAGGCCCATCACATGAATGTATCCCTTGTGTTTTATTTAAGAAACAGCTCACAAAAGACTTACTTCAGTTTACCACCATGCCAACTAAAAGCCTGCTGAAAGAGAAAACCTCAAAGTGATGTATGAATTTAAAGTTGTGAATTAATGTAAGGAATTACAGAAAATTCTCCAACCAGATTTTTAGAAAAGCATATTTAATGGTTACCTACCCAGTAAAGGCAAATTTGGCTGTTTTATTTACATTTAGAACAAAATAATTCCATTAGTCAACGTTCTTCTATTTCTCCCTCCCCCTGTCCTTCCCAAGTTGTAGTAGTCATTCGTCAACTCTCTATTTAACTGAAGTAATTTTTAAAATTTCTACATATGTGTGAGAACATGTAGTATTTCTTTCCTGTCCCTGGCTTACTTTATTTAGCAAAATGTTCTCCAGGATCATCCATTTTACTTCAAATAACAAGATTTTATTCATCTTAATGACTAAATAATATTCCATGTGTATTTTTATATGTGTGTTTGTGTGTGTATGTGTGTCTGTACACTTTCCTTATTCATTTATCAGTTGATATATGCTTAGAATTTTTTAATCTTGATTGTTGCAAATAGTACTGCAATAAACATTAGGGTGCAGATAAATTTATGACATACTGATTTCCTTTCCTTTGGATATATACATACTAGTGTAGTAACTAAATAACTAAATCATAAGGCAGTTTTTTTTTTTTTTTCTTTTTGAGGAACATCCATAGTGTTTCCATAATGGCTTTACTAATTTAAATTTCCACCAGCAGTGTGAAAGAACTTCAGTCTGCATCGTTGCAAGCATTTGCTGTTTTCCAGTCTTTTCATTTATAGCCATTCTACTTTGGAGTGAGAGGTATCTCATTGTGGTTTAAATTTGTATTTCCTAATAATTAGTAATGTTGAGTATTTTACTTTTTTTTTTCTTATTAGGCTGCCATCTTTACAGAATTGTTTATTTAGATCATTTGCCCACTTTTTAGAATAGATTAGGTCATTTGTTTGTTTTTAGTATTGAGTTAAGCTCCTTGTATGTTCTGGTTATTAAGTTCTTGTGAGAGATATATTTTGCAAATATTTATCCCATTCTATAGGTTGTCTCTTGATTCTGTTGATTGTTTCTTTGCTGTGTATAAGCTTTTTAATTTGACAATCTCATTTGTCTATTTTTGGTTTTATTTCCTATGCTTTTGAGATTCTACTTGAACACTCATTAAATTACTACCTAAAATTCCTGTCAGAATTAATATTTCTATTTTGTCCTTATAGAAATTAAGGACCAGGAAGTTACTGAACTGTTTATTGTTTATTGTTACTCTGTAATCAAGTGTGTACTTACAATTTATAGGTCTACTGAATTAAAAATAGTCCAATTTTGGTTATATTATTTCTGTAGAGTGACTTCACTGAATTAATGGTTATAAAGCACAAACCTTGTGTCACTAAAGTATAGAAACAGGACCTGTAAAATGATGTATAAAAGACACATTAGTCTTTAGGCAACAAGTGTTATATCTACAAATATAGAACCTTATATACGACATGATGAGCTCGTCTACACATACCAGAATGAATACATACTTATTACAGCCACTTCAAAAATATCACTAAAATTAGAATAAAGGAAGGGTTAAAAATCACCAAGGGAACTAGTGATGAACCAGAGAGAACTGTAAAGTTTTTGGGCTTAGAAAGCATGAAAAGAGTAAGATGAAGAAGGTAGAATGAGAATATTTTCTGAATCTATGACATCATTCACTGTATGATTCACCATTAGTTTGTTACATTAAGGAAGAAACATCACTACCAATTTCAATTGTTATATTTATTATTGTAAATGTTTAGCTATATATTACTGTATAACAAACCACTACCAGTGTAGTAGCTTAAATCAAATCATATTTTTATTACTGTCTTGTATACTTCTGGGGGTTGACTGGGCCCAGTTGACTCACAATTGTAATTAAATACTCTCTGGAGCTTGGGTCATCTCAAAGACTTCAGAACTTACCTGGATGATGATTAATACTAGCTATCATCTGCAACCTCAGCTGGCCTGTTGGCCAGGGCACTTACACCTGGCCTATACAAGTAGCCTGGGCATTCTCATGTCATGGGAGCTGTGTTTTGAGAACAAACATTTTAAGAGAGACATCAGGACAGAAGCCATTTTTTCTGCATGTCCAATCTTAAATTCATAAAGCCTCTCATGTACTCCATTCTAATGGCTAAGGCAGTCATAAAGGTTCAACCACAGTCAGTAGGAGAAGACACACATTTTTGAGAGATTTTTGCTATAGGGCGCGTGTGCTCACCAGACAGACAGAGACATAGAGACAGAAAGTGAAAAATCACCCCCCAGGGGGGATGGTCATGCCGCAATCCCTTCTCCTCCATCCTCTCTTGGAATTTTGGGCACACATGCATATGCACCCCATGTGAGTTTTAAGCCACCAGGTCTGGGACTAAAATTGCAGTTAACTATGTGGCAGTTCAGCAATGTAACCATTATGCCATCTGCTCATCCCAAGAAGACATACATCTTATGTCTTGATGAAAGAACAACAAAGTCTCAGAACCAAAAGCTCACCTAGGATGGAAACTCTATTACAGCTATTGCTGAAAAATACTATACATCATAATGCCACTAATTATAATGTTCCCCACACTCAAAAATGTTAAAATATGGAAAATAATATTTACCTGAGAACCAATAAATATGGTAATTGTCTATATTTGAAGAGATATCAAATTAGAAGTAATCAAATCCATGTCACAGAAAGGTCAGGAATTTGAGGTTTCAACTACCTTAAAGTTCTCTATAGGGTCTAGAATTAATTGAAAGTTTGAATAAGGAGCAGAATGAAACTCTTTTCATCCTGTGTAACTATCTGTCTCATTCCCAACAGGAGAAAGTTTCCTATACAGAGAAATTAAAGTCAAGATTCTCTGGGTCTCACAGATAAGCAGCACAGTGTTGAAAAAGGGACATTAAGACGTGAGCATTGAACAGTAAGACCTTCATCCTTCTTCTTGTTAGCCCCCAGAATTGTTATATGAAAATTTATTTTTCATCCTTTCCCATCCACTGTCTTTTATAACCAATGGATTGGAAGATTTTTTTCATAGAAATATGAAGAATAAGTATCGGGCCTGGGAAGTGCACAAAAATATATACAGATATAAACATTTAGACACATTGGGACAAAGAGTACCAAGATTTCATTTCAATTACGCTATAGTAACATCTTCCAAACTCTGAGCTTACAATGATTTCTTTAGTACTTTTGGTTAGTAGTTAGATATCACCAGGCATGTATGGAAAGCTTCATCATGAAAGAAGGACATTAAAACAAATAAAATACCTTTGGTAATTTGATCATAATTGCACTAAATTTATAAATTAATTTGGGTAACATTGACATTTTGATTATATTAATTCTTCCAATCCAGGAACATGGGATGCTTTTCCACCTTTTTGTGTAATTTTCAATTGCTTTCTTTAGTTTTCCATAGTTTTTCTTGTAGAGGTCTTTCATGTCTTTGCTTAGATTTAGTTGTAGGTATCTTATTGTTGTTGTGGACATTTTAAATGGGATTTCTGTCTTAAGTTTGCTTCAGTCTGGTCATTGTTGGTATATAAAAATGCTATAGACTTTTGTATGCTGATTTTGTATCCTGCCACTTCGCTATGTTTATCAGTTCCAAGAGCTTTTTGGGGATTCCTTTGGATTTTATATGCATATAGTCATGCCATCTGCAAGTAGAGATAATTTCCCTCCTTCTTTTCTATTTGAATGCCTTTATTTTAGTTCCTTATCTGACTGCATTGACTAAGAGTTCCAGTACTATGTTGAAAAAAAAAAAATGGAGAAAATTGGGCAGCCTTGGGTTGTTCTGATATACGGTATATTCATGCTGGGGAAAAAATTGTATTTTGTAAACCTGTACGGTGATTAAATACAAATTTTTTGAAAATTAGAAATAAGTAAATTTAAATTAAAAAAATTGAAGACATTCTCTATAAATAGAGACAAGGGCCAGCCAGTGATGTGGTAGTTAAGATGGCTGAATCTCACCTGGCTGACTATGTGGGAGTCCCAGACCTGGAAGCCTGACAAACCGGCAGCTTACCACCACTCCACGCATGTGTGCATGCATGACCCAAATCCCAGAGCAGAATGGAGACAAGGGATTGTGACCTGGTCTTCCCACCTGGGAAGTGCTTTCTCACTTTCTCTCTTCTGTATCTCTTTGTCTCTATCTCTGCCAAGAGCATATGCCCTATAGCAAAACTACACACCCACCCACCTCCCACTCACACACACACGCACTAAATGAAACAGACAGATGTTGAGTGGGAAAAAGTATTAAAACAATGACTCCTGAATTTTTAACCTTGGACAAATAAGAAAAGATATTACATTTCCTTTTTAAAAACGTTTACTCTTTCTATGGGAGAAAAAGACAGACAGGGAAACATCCCCAATGGCATCTTCAGGCCTCAGCCAGCCTGGGTAGCAGACATGTGCATGCACCTGGCATGTATGGGGAGATCTCAGGACACAAACCTGGGACCTTCTCATTCAAGGCCAGCATTACAGTACTGTATTATCACTGTGCCACATTTTGGTCTAGGTGCTGCATTCTTAAAATATGATATAGAAAATGAATAATTAGAGAACGATAAAAGGTTCTGAACCTATAGCTTCAACTGAAAATACAACAAAAATATTTAAGAAAGAAGAATAGAAA